GAGGCTGTTTCAGAATATAGCTGTAGGGAAAGAGAGAGGAAGCATTGGACCACTTGCCAGGGAAGGGACCAGAGAATGCCATTATCGAGTGAACGTCTGCGGAGCAGAGTAAGGGAGGAGGTGGAAACAAGAAGGAAGCTAAAGGAAGCCATGGAATTGTAGGAATTGAGGGTATAATCCATGGTGGAATAAGGTAGTTCCTCCCCTGATGCCTGAAAGAAGAGTTGCCCTGATCAGTGCCTATTACGTGTACCCAGAGTGCCTGGCCTTAGGCTAGGTTCTGGGGATACAGAGATAGATAAGACATAGTTTTTAGAAATTAGATGAGATCTTTCAAAATGTGTGGTATTGTGGGCTGAGATACCGCTACCATTACTAATGGCTAAAATTTATTGTTTACCCACCAGCTTCTAAATGTTTTACATGTGAATTAGCTCATTACTCCCGACAACAGCCCTGTAAAGTGTGTATTGTTATAAACCCCGTTTTATAGGTAAAGAATCTGAGGCACAGAGACATTTCCAATAGCTCCTCTGAAGTCTCACAGTAGGCCCTTAGGAGCAGGAACTCCAGCCCAGTAAGTCATCAGAGTGTGCGGGAGCTCTGGCGTTTCCACTTCTGGACCGTCCTTGGTCTGGGGTATTCTTCCTTAAAGACTGGTCAGGGGGCTGACTCCCTCTGCCTGTCTCTGCCTGTCACTGTCCTTGGAGCTTGAAGAGCACTTCGTGTCTATTTTGTTTTAAGTACATAGTGTTCTATTTGTTGGAATATCTGACTCCTTTTGTTATAACCTTCTGAAGAACAAGGACTTTTTTTTCCTGGAAAATTACAAATAGTTGCAAAAGCAAAGCTAATAATAATAGTGAATCTACACATGCTCATCACCAGCTTCAGCAATTATTTCATGGCCAATCTTGTTTCATCTATACTCCCTTCCCCAAATTGGATTATGCTGAAGCAAATCCCAGACATCAAGTCATTTCTTCTGTTAATATTTCAGTTATATAACTAACATAGAAGGGCTCTTTAAAAAACATAACTACAAAAACCATTATCACACTAAAAATTGATACTTCCTCAATATAAAATATTCAATGTTCATATTTCTGCAGTTATCTCGTCATTTTTTCCCTTCCCTCCCTTCTTTCCCTTCCATTTTTCTTTATTCCTTCATTTCTTCCTTTGTCCCTCCTCCCCCCCTTTCTTTTTTTATTTCTCCCTTTCTTTTAACAACAGAGTTGTTTGACTAAAGATTCAAATAAGGGTTTATTTTTTTATCTTCATGTTCTCAGAACGTGGTTTAGTGCTCAACATATAGTAAATCCTTAATAAATGTTTGTTAAATGAATGAATCAAGGAAGCTATAAAATGTCCTGGTTGAATTGGTGTTTCCTGGGATGGCTTTGGTTTCTGATAGCTTTAGTTAGGGGTTAACTTAGGTGCTAGCTACTATCAGTGCCTGTGAACATGACTAAAGGTCTGAGGGCAGTGAGTGTACCTGTGACTCACATTTACAGGCTAGAAGGAAATGGGCCCTTGCTTTCTTGCCTCTGCTTTTTGTCCCAAGTCTCGTGTTTCTCACTTTGAGTTTGGACTGACCAAGTTTAGCTTTTTACTATTTCCTCAGAATAGGGACTCCGAAGGAGTTCCTTGAGAGCATGGACAGCTTTCTATGGTGCCGTGGTAGGCAGAATTCTGAGGTGCACCCAAAATTTTACCCCTCACCCCCAAACTGTGAAGGATATCATGCCTATGATACTGTATGTGACAAAAGGGATTTTTCAGATTTTTAATTAGGGTGACTAATTAGTTGACTTTGAGTTTAGCAAAAAGAGATCATCTGAGTGAGCTTGATCTAATCACATGAACCCTTTAAAGCAGACAGTTTTGTTTTTTTCTAGCTGGTTTCAGAAGGGGAAATCAGAGATAAGTGTGAGAGGGATTCTCTTTAAGGGATGTTCTCCATTGCTGAGATGGAGGGGACCTTGTAACTAGGACCTAAGAATGCCTTCTATAATAGCTGAGAGCTGTCTCTAGCAGGACAATGGGACCTCAGTCTCATTACTTTAAGGAATTGAATTCTGTAAGCTAATAAATGGGTGTGGCTTTAAGCCACTAAATTTGCAGTAATTTGTTTTGCAAAAATAGAAAATGAATACAGGTGTTTTTACCTGTTAGATTGAATTAACTGTTCCTTATTTTATTTTATTTTATTTTATTTATTTATTTATTTTTTTTAAAGATTTTTATTGGGGAATTGGGGGGATGGGAACAGTGCTGGGGAATTGGGGGAAGGGGAACAGACAAGCTGCTGTCGTTTTGCTCTCCAGTCTAGTTGTGGAGGGCGTTGCTCCACTGGCCCAAGTTGGCACCATCATTGCGCTCTTCTCTGGCAAGGCAGATCAGTCGCCGGCCTCTGGACGGCCGCTCACCGCGGCTGCTGGCCGCTCACGCTGGCTGCTGGCTACACACGGTAGCCCATGGCAACCCACTGCCACAGGGACTGCAGCCCACGCCGTCGCCGGCGACTCACGGCAGCCCAGCTCCAGGTTGAGCTGTCGTTCAGCATCTTAGCTGTAGAGGGCAGTGTCACTGGCCCTCATATGTGGGATCCGAACCGGGGCCCTCTGGTGTCCCAAGCGAGTTCTTAACCATCGCGCCACTCGGCCGGCCCCCTTATTTTATTTTTTAAATGTTGAAATAAAATTAAAATATATTGAAATGCATACAGAAATGCATCTTAAATGTTCAATTGGATTTTTATAAATGTATACACATGTGAAATCACCACCTGAATTGAGAAGAACATTTCCATTAGCTCAAAAATCTTCCTTGTGCACCTTTGCAGTAAATTCTACCCCCACCCCCACCCCATGGTGAATTCTAACACTATTAATTACTGTCACCTATTCTTGATCTTCATTTAAATGGCATCTTCACAGTACGTGCTTCTTCGTGTCTGGCTTCTTTTGCACATCATAATGTTTTGGAGACTCATCCACCTCATTGTAGCAGCAGTTTGTGCCATTTTCATTGCTGACTAGTATTCCCTTGTATGGATAGACCACAATCTGTTTACCTGTTTACATGTTGGTAGATATTTGGGTTGTTTCCACTTTTTGGCTATTAGGAATAATGCTGCTATGAACATCCATGTATAACTCTTTGTATGGATGTATATTTTCATTTCTATTGAGTAAAAACCTAGGAATGGATTGCTGAACTGTGTAAGTGTATTCAGCTTTACAAGAAAATGCCAAACTCTTGTCCAGAATGGTTGTGCCATTTTATATTTCCACCAGCATTGTTTAAGAATGCCAGCTGTTTCCCATCCTCACAACATTTTGTATCATCAGTCTTCTAAAGTTCAGCTATTTGCCAATAATTTCTTTTTGAGTACTTCTCGATGCCTTGCAGAATATATTATTCATGTTATGCTTATCTTTTGGGATGTTCTCCCAACTCCCCAATTTTTCAGTCCTACCTATATTTTAGGTCAGTGTTTCCTAACATGGAATATATGTGAAAATCACCTGGGAGCTTTTCAAAATATACAAGCTCTAGGGCCGGCCGAGTGGCTCAGTTGGTTAAGAGCTCGCTCAAGAGTTTGAGCTCTGAGCAACAGCGGTTCGAGTCCCAGCCCGAGCTGAGCAGCCGCTGAGCTGCCAACAGGTAGCAGGATGGCCCAGCTAAAAAAAAAAAAAAATGGAGGAATTATACTAGAGAGTAGCGGTAAAGAAAGTAATATTAGTAGAGGGGAAGAAATTTGAATTGACCTGATAGGCCAGGGCAGGCCACTATAGACTCTTGAGTAGGAGAGGGAACCAGTTTTTAGGCAGGTGATGTAAAGAGGCAGGGGTATGCAAGAAAGATTTCAGTAGAGAGACTGGAGACAAGAAGTGAAGCTCTGTTTCCAACAGAGTTGTTGAGGGCCTGGGTTGTTTACGATTGTGGGAATGGACAGAAGGACACAACTGAGATGTTAAAAAAGAATCCACAGGCTTTGATGATGCGTGGAATCTGGGAAACAAAAAGCAAGGGCTGAGGAAACAGTGGTGTCATTGAGGGAAATGAATGAGCTGTGAGGGAAAGCCAGTTTAAGTGGGGAGTAATTTCAGAAGGTATTTGGATGTGAGTGCCATGAGTTCGGGAAGTAGTAGGGGCTTGAGATGTAGATGTAGAAGCCATCTGCAGAGAGGTCACTGAAGCCGTGGGAAGGTGGTGTGAAGGGAGACAGCAGCTTCTGAGTACTAACTCTGGTGTGTGTGGAGTGCAGTGGGTAGGTGGGGGATAGAAGAAGGACGTCCAAGAAGGAAAAGGTTGTCTGTGGTCTTAGATGTTGTAAAAATGAACTACATGAGGACAGTGAACTTACCTTTGAATTTGGCCATGAGATGGATACTGATTTTATGCTGCTTCCAGTGGTCTTGTGGATGGAGGAGAAATTCAGTGATGAGTAAAGAGAAAAATAACACACACGTTTCAATTGCTTGGAAGTAAAGGAAATGAGATAACAGGCTAATATGTAGTGGAATTCATAAATGAAGGTTACTCAGTTTAGAAGATATCTGACCCTATGAGGGGGCAGAAAAAGTAACTGGGGACAAGGAAGACAGAAGGTGCTATAGAGAGTGTGGAGGCTCCTATGATGAAAGCTCTGTTACTGCATCTGATTCACTGGAACCAGTTGTGGCGGGGGGAGGGGGAGGTTGTAATTTGTTCCTAATAAAGAGGCCAGGAGATCATTTACCCATGAAATTATCTTCTTTCCCAGAGGAAAATAGCAGTTTCTTCCAGTCAGGTTGAAGCTGTGGCGTTGCTTCTAGATGGACTCACGTTGTTAGCAGGTGTGCAAATGAATTTGGCTAATTCTCTGATCACTGGATCAAATATCTGTAGACTTAGAATAGGCTTACTCGGACTCCTAGTTAAGCAATTTCTCTTTCTCCTGCTTGTAAAGAAGACATTGTCTTAAGTAGTATCAACTGTGAGGCAGCATGTTGATGTCTGATATATAATTTTTATTATAAATATAGAGCCAATTTTACAAATAATTCAGGAGTGGCCTTAGCCAGGCAAAATTAAATAACAGAATAGCATGGATGAGGGAAATTATATACAGTCTGTCAGGGTTAGAAAACCCTGAAAGAGGTACCTGAGTACATAGAACTCCCAACTAACCCTCTTTGAGGGTCCTCTTAGACACAGCATGAGATCAAGCAATCAATATCAAATGAAACCTTCCTCTCAACAGCCCCAAGGAGAGTCCATCTGTGTAAAGGCTGGGTGGGAAGTACATTTGCCTCTCCTTCTCCTGCCCTTCCTTTTTATTCTGACACATTGGGACTCATAGACCCCATGGGAGACAACAAATTCCAGAGACTCTTCAAGAAACCTAGGGCCCAGCTATAATCCCCCACTCCGTGTCCTAATGAGCATCAGCACCAGTGCAGCTTTCTAGGTTGTAAACAATGTCAACAGCGTGAGTGATAGTGTTCCCTTCAGGGCGCCCACTTCTCAAGAATCAAACTTAGCAGAGGCCAAGGTTTCCTGAGAAAGTGAGTGGGGCAGACAGACAAACATGCACAGGCAGAAACATGCAATAGAATGGTGGTTGATGATTGGCCTGAGATGCCTGGAAACTGAGTTAGATCCTCTTCTAGCCATGAGTAAGAGAACTCCTTTTTTTTTTTCTATTTGGAGCCCCTGACATGAAGGCCTTGAGGAACTCCTAGCCAAGGGGACTTGAGAGGTTTTGGTGGCTTCTTTTACCTAAGGCTCTTAGATTGGCTTATACAGCTAAGCTAAGTATGTAAAAATAACCCCTTTCACATAAATAAGGAGACACAAAAATTAAAATGGTGGTATGTCTCAGAGAAACGGAAACAAAACCCCCAATACCTCAAATTGTGCATTTTTTAATAATTACTTAAATAATCTCAGAAGGGTAGCTCTCTGTAACTCCCTTCTTCTTCCCATTTCCTTAACTAAAGCCATGAAGTTATTTAAAAATACATGATTTGTAAAAAATTTTCCATTGGGAATCACCTATAGTTTTCCTAGCTGCTTCTAGTGGATTTTCTGAAGACAGGCTTGCCAAAGGGCTTAGGTGGTATTCCAGCCAAGCAGCAAGGTGTTTTACTCTCTGGTTCTACAGGTAGACACCCTGACAGTGGACAAAAGTGTAGAATTTTCCAGTTAAAAACTGGTTATGTATATATTTTTTCCTGTGTGTGGTGGGTTTACCCTGGGATTTGGAGAAATAGGAGAAGCTTTTACTTTTTCCCTTTCTTCTTTTCTGGCACAGTGGATAAGGATATAAATCTCAAGGTTATGGCAAATTCAAGTTAGACTCCAACAGGAGGGGACTGAGATAGGAAGGAATGAGTGTGCTCTGGAAGGGAAGTTTAGAGCGAGTCTAGGTCAGAAAAGGAAAAGGGCAGGAGTTTCTGGCAGCTCTATCTCAAGGTCTGCTTTGCCAAATCTCAATAACAAAGACGGTTGGGCTTCCTACAGACTCCGGATGTACCTTTCCGTCTGTTGACACTAAAGGGAGGGGCTGTGACCAGGCAGTGGGGAGGTGCCTCCTGAGGGAGTGAAGAGGGGAAAAGAAGCTTCTCCTTTTTCCTGAGAGTAAAGGGATCTCCTCGTGACAGAGATGAGAAGCTTGGAATAATTCAGCAGTGCAGTGAGCAGGGCAAGTTGCGTTACTTCTTTTTCACTTCTGCATAAAGCGTTTCTGTGGTTGTTGAGGATGGGGAAGGTGAAGTTGGTGTTTTGGATCCCTGGGCATTGAAGTTCAGGGAAGAATATGCAACTTCATCGACCTGAAAGGCATGAGCAGCGGTCAGTTAAATCAGTGTCATAGGTCAGGTCATCACATTGTCCGGTGTGATTCAACATCACCTACTATCACCACTTTGAAACTTATGGCTTTGGAGATGGGCTTTTATTATCCGTTATCTCTGCTTGCTGACATCCTTTGATCATTGCAAGAGACGGATTATGGTATTCATACAATGGAATACGATGATACAGCAATGAGAAAAAACAACTACAAATGCATACGACAATATGGATAAATCTCACAAAACTATTTTGAATGAAAGAAACCAGACACACATAAGGATATACTGTATTTTCAACATAAGAGAACAAACAGGCAAAACTAACCTAGTGCTTTATAATTCAGGATAGTGGTTACTCTTTGGAAGGAAGTGACTGGAGGGTTTTTGGGAGGGAGGGATGACATGTTTTGTTTCTTGATTTCCATGCTGCTTATGTTCAACTCATGAAAATTTATACATTGTTGTCATATACTTATGATCTAAGTACTTCTCAATATATATGTGTGCTCTACTGAAAGGTTAAGATGAGTGAAATTTGGTGAAATGATTACAAAGTAAAGGAATTAAGACCTCAGACCAGTTGGAATGGACATTATCCTTTGACAGTAAAAGCAGGGTCAGATTGAAAGGAGAGAAGGGAGAATGACCCAGTGCTTTCCTCATGTTGGGCATTGGGCTGGTGCTTTGCATTTGTTATTTCATTTAATTCTTTAAAAATCTCTTTGAAGTGGGTAGCATGCCCATGTTACATTTGACAAAGCTGAGGATCAAAGGGGTTAAGTTACTTGCCCAAGGTCACAGAGCTACTAAGAGTCACAGCCAGGATTCAAACACAGGATGGAGATGACTCCAGGGCCCACGTTCTTACATGAGGTAGACCCAAGGGAGTAATTAACCAATATGTCTTTGTTGCTGCATTGACGAACTCTGACCCAAACTTGCTCTCGCATTTGTGTCTTCAAGAGTAATCCATTCTACACAGAGATATTTCCATGTGAAAATGAGCCAGTGAAACTGGCTGTGCTTACCTTGTTAGGTGAGTTGTCAGAATGACCCTGACCTGAGGAAGTAAAAGAAGAGTTAATCCACGAAAATGCAGAGCTGCCTTACAGCCTTAGAGGGTGGTGTTCCTAAGCTGTTGAGATTTCTAATGAAGCAGGTGGCAGGTGGTGGGAGGGTGGGGTACGGAGGTGGCCCATGATTACTTAAGGAATTCACTTTCCTCAGCTTCTGTAGACCAGACCCAGGGTGTTAGTACCAGAGGGGGAGCAGGAGTAAAGCCACGGAGGCCTCAGTCCACTTCTGAAGATTTTTTCCAGTTCACAAGGCCTTGATTTTTGCCCAGATGTTCCTCAGCAACAAGCCCCAGTGGCAAAGAGGGGCAATGAGGCCCACAGCACCCAGAGCACCACAAGGGAACGTCTCACCAAAGGACAGTGCCCACATCCGTTAGAGGCAGGAGGGAAGGAGTAAGGATGGGAATGGCTCCTGGAAACATGTCCAGCTTACTTAGGCCTGCCTGGCCTACGCGAGTGTGTCTCTTCCGGGGCTGTGTCTCAGGGGATCTTTTGTGGCTAGAAGGGTGTGATGTCTTATGCCAGCGTAAGGTTGGGAAATGGAGATGCCCTCTACAAATTCAGAAGGTAGGGAGTATTTGGGAATCCAGGGTTCCCTGCTAGGGCAGGGCGTGTGGTGGAACACACCAGCTCTCACTGGGTGATAGCTGTACTTACTGTGGTTGGAGGCTGAGGGTTTGTGCTCTGTGAGATCGTGCTGGTCGCTTGCCCTAAATAAATATCAGACACTGTGACTGCTGTTCCCAAGCAGAGGATCTTTGCTCCTTGACTTAGGAAGGACACTGTCAGGAGATAATTGTTGGGGCTCCTCAAGGGTTCAGTTATACCAGGGTTGGTACTGCCTTTGCTCTTAGGGCCTCCTCTTCAATGTACCCTCCATCACTTCTAGTGTGCGCTCCTTTCCTGCTTGCCTGAGGTTCACATTTATTTAGGTCCAATCTTTTTCAACTGCTTCTGAGCCTATTTCTACCCTGACACCTTCTGTAGGTAGATGCTGTATCCCCCTCGCTCCCCGCACCCACCCTCCCCACCCCCACACACACACTTCATTTATTGCTCAAGAGGCCTTTGGTTTCTGCTTTTTCTTAGGTTCTCTTCCTGTCCTATTCCTCTTCCTGTCCTATTCCTCTCCCTTCCTCTTCCTGTGATTGACAGAGCACACAACTCACTTTCTCCTGCTCCTCCTTTCATTTATTTTCTCATTTGTTTTCTTTCTTGGACCTTGGCTTCCCTGCCAGGGGAACGGAGGACTATCACTGGCTCTGCCCACCCTAAACCAGATGGGGATGGGAATAACCATGTCCAAGAGAAAGTGAGGTACAGGAAGTTTGAAGTCCAGGGAAGGAGCCGCCGCAGGAATTAGTGCCGAGAAGCAGGGGTTTCGGAAGGAGGAGGAGCAGATGCAGGCCCAGAGACAGAGGGGAGTCTCCTTCCCTCTCCCAAGCATGGCGGTTAGCCCTGGAGAAAGCGGGACAAGAGAAAGGCCATCATACCCTCCAGTCTTTCTGATATACAGAAAGTACACCAAGGCTGCTATCAGAGCTATCCCGGCCAGGACTCCAATCACGATGCCAGCAATAGCCCCATCTGAGAGGCCAGGACCTGGCTGGACAGGAGTTGGCTGTATTGAATCTTTATCTGTCAAGGATAGAAAAGAGAAGAATGAATGACAGTGACATTATTTTACAATGGGGGTGCCCTGGGAAACAACTCTCAACGTGAAGTAGTCTCTACCTGTTCCTCTAAGAAATACATTTTCTGTGGGGAGGTTGCTATGAGGTGATTAGCTGACTATATCCTTGTAATATTTTTCTCTCACTGTATTTCTAGGTTGATGGTCAGACTTGCCTCAATTCCATCCTGGCCTTTCTGCACTCAGATATTTTTGAAGCTTTGGAAATGTGAAAAAGGCTGATTGCTACTTTTGTATTACTTCCCACCATTTTTTGGTTGCATCTTTTTGTGTATGAGGTGTGGCAGCCATGAATATGTGCCTCTCAGGTCTCTTGTGGTGGGAGCTTAATTGGCGGAAGGTGGTGCATTCTGAATTCACCACCCCCTTTGCACAGAGACCACGTTTCCCAAGGCTCTCAGCAGGGATCTGAAATAAACCCAATTCTGTGAGAAATGGGATTCCTCTGATGGGTGAAGTTACCTCAAGGACTCCCCGCCCCCCATCACCCTTGCGGATACTCTCTTAAAACGACACCTAAACTTCCTCTTTCTCCTTCACAGAAATCAGGTCTGCATTGTGGTCTAAGGAATCTCCCAGGCTTCTCCCACTCCCATCCCACTTTCCTTCACGGGCATTTTTTCCAATAAATATCTTATATTTAATCCCATCTAATCCCATCTTGGCTGCATCTCAGGGGATGAAAACGAACAAACTAGGCTTGAAACTTTGCATTCAACTCCTATTTTGCCTTTCCCATATTTAGTCAGTAACCATGTCCCAATGATTTTTGTGTGTAATGCCCACCCCCCTTATAATACATTTTGCATTTGTTTCTTCTTTTTTTATTTTTACTGCCCCCACCTACCAACTCAAGGTTGATGACTAATATTAATGTTAATATTAATATTACTGTTATGGAATACTTACTATGTGTCAGTCTCTGTGCTAAACACTCTCAGATAGACATTATTTCCACTTTACTGATGAAAACAACTGAGGCTCGGAGTGATGAAAACTTTACCCAAAGTCCTACGGCTAGTAAGAGGTGGATCTGGGATTGGACTCTAGGACTACCTGACTTTATAGAGGCTAATGATAATAGTAGTACAATAATAATAGCAGCTAACACTTATGGAACATTTCCTCTGTGTGTGGCATTTTGCTAAGTGTTTAATTACTATGTAGAAAACACTAAAGATACCCCTGATACACACACACATACACACACACATACACACACACACGTACACACACACACACACACACACACACACACACACACCTGTTGGAAATAATAAACAAATTCAGCAAAGTTGCAGATACTAAATCAACATGCAAAAATATGTCATGTTTCTATACACTAACAATGAAAAATCCCAAAAGGAAATTAAGAAAACAATTCCATTTATAACATATAGCATCAAAAAATATAAATAGTTAGTAATTAACCAAGGAGGTGAAAGACTTATACACTGAAAAATTATAAAACATTGCTGAAAGAAATCAAAGACATAAATAAGTGGAAAAACATGATGTGTTTATGGATTGGAAGACATGATATTAAGATGACAGTACTACCCAATGACCTTTTTTTTTTTTTCCAGGAATAGAAAAATTTTTCCTAAAATTCCTATGGAATTTCAAGGGCCCCCAAATATCGACAGGGGTGCCAAGACCATTCTATGGGAAAAGACAATCTTTCCAACCAATGGTGTTGGGAAAACTGAATATCCATGCAAACAAATGAAGTTGAACTCTTACTTGACACTATATACAAAAAATTAACTCAAAATGCATCAAGGACCTAATGTAAGAGCTAAAACTATAAAAACTCTTAGACAAAAACATAGGGTGAATACTTCATGACTTTGGATTAGGTAATGATTTCTTGGATATGAAACCAAAACCACAAGCAACAACAACAACAACAAATAGATAAATTGGACTTCACTAAAATTGCAGACTTTTATGTATCAAAGGACATTATCAACAAAATGAAAAGACAACCCACAGAGTGAGAACATATTTACAAATCATATAACTGATAAGAAATTAATATCCAGACTATATAGAGAACTACAATTCAACAACAAAAAGTCAAATAAAAAAATGGGCAAAGGGGCAGACCGAGTGGCTCAGTTGGTTAAGAGTTGGCTTAAGAGCTCGAGCTCTGATCAACAGGGCTATTGGTTCGATTGCCACATGGGCCAGTGATGCTATGCCCAAGCTGAGCTGTCACTGAGCAGCCAACAGGTGGCAGGATGGCTCAGGTGGTGTAACAAGATTGCCTGTTCAATGGTGGGTTATGCCCACCCGCAACTAAGACTGAACTCAGCACCTTGAGCTGAGCTGCCACCTGGATACCTCAGTGGATAGAGTGTGCGCTCTTAACAGCAAGGCTGCTGGTTTGACTCCCGCATGGGATGGTGGCTACGCCCACCCGCAACTAAAATTGAACACAGCACCTTGAGCTTAGAGACCACAAGCTGCCGACGGGAAGCTACATGGCAAATGGTGCCCTCCACAACAAAGATTGAAGAACAACAACTTGGCTGGTCCCCTTCCCCAATTCCCCAACACTGTTCCCTTCCCTCAATTCCCCAATAAAAATCTTAAAAAAAAACACACCAAAAAACGGGCAAAGGATTTGAACAGATAGTTCTCCAAAGAAGATATGCAAATGGCCAATAAGCACATGAAAACATGCTCAACATCACTAATCATCAGGAAAATGCAAATCAAAACCACAATGAAATGTCACCTCACACACATTGGGTGGCTATTATATATTTTAAAAAACCCCAGAAAACAACAATTGTTGGCAAGTTTGTGGAGAAATTAGAACTTCTGTGCATTGCTGGTGGGAATGTAAAATGGTGCAGCCACTGTGGAAAATGGTATGAAAGTTCATCAAAAAATTGAACAAAGAATTACCATTTGATCCAGCAATTCCACTTCTGGGTATACACCCAAAAGAACTGAAAGCAGGGATTTGAACAGATATTTGTACACCCATGTTCACAGCAGTCTAATTCCCATCAGCCAAAAGGTAGAAACAGCCCAGAAGTTCATGGCTGGATCAGTGATAAACAAAGTAAGATGTATACATACAAAGGAATATTATTTAGCCTCAACAAAAGAATGAAATTATGATATAGGCTACAACATGGATAAACCTTGAAGACAATATGCTAAATGAAATAAGCCAGACACAAAAGGACAAATGTTGTATGATTCCACGTTTACGAGGTACCTAGAATAGTCAAATTCATAAAGACAGAAAGTAGAATGGTGGTTACCAGGGGTTGAGGTAGGAAGTGGGGAGTTATTGTTTAATGGGTACAGAATTTTAGTATGGTAAGATGAAAAAGTTCTAGAAATGGATAGTAGTGATTGCTGTACAACCATTAATATGAATGTACTAATGCCACTGAATTGTATATTTAATTGAATAAAATGGTAAATCTTATGTATATTTTACCACATAATATATAATAATCGAAGAAAAAAAAAGAATCTTGTGCAAGGTCACACAGTGAATGTCAGATTCAGGATAAGAAACTAAGAATATTAGTTTCAGAGACTAAGCTTTTAACCACTTTCCATTCTGTTTACTGCAATGGCCTCCTGATTGATATTCTGTCCGCCCGTGACTTCTATCAGTTTGCACACCACTGGTAGAAAAATCCTCCCAGGAAGGTGTACGATGGGACAAGGGGGGGTCACTTATATTACACATTCTAGCCTGAGGGGTCACTTTCCTGGAGCTTTTGTGAGCTTCAAAACGACCAGACCCCCTTCCCTGTCTAGTATGGTAGCTTTGCATAGAGAAGGGAAGGCATTTCCTTTTTCTTAAATAATTTATTAGAGAATGACCAGCCATGACCTTAGGATCTGGAGAAATTCCGATCTAAAGGATTTCTCAATCTGAATAGGACTTTCCCTTCCTGGCTTGTGGAGTAACTATCAGAGAAAATCTCTAGAGAAAAGTAGTCACAGTTTTAACAATAGGCTGGTACTCTTAACCTTTTCTGTAAACTATAAATTTTTGGCACTGCTCCTTCTGTCCCATGAAGGGACTTCATGGATGAACCTATCTATTTTTCAAGTATCCACCATCATTCACTGTTCTCCTGGGTATATCATATATGCTGGTGTCACACAGCATTACACAGCTGATGACTTCAGAGCCAGGACACAGCTCAGAGGAGCCTGTCCCACATCTCATTCCTCTCCTATTTCCATGCAGCCTGGCCTGATGGAGGCTCAGGTGTCGATTGGTGGCACAATTAGGCCAGATTGAAGACAGGCTGCCCATGCAACTTTATGGCCTTCTGCTCCACCACAGATGGCATGAGAGCAGAGTGAGTCACCAGGTGAGCCTGGAGTAGAGCAAAGAGCAACAGTCTGTCCTGCATACCTGTCCTTAGAGGTGGTTTTATGCTTTTGTTTGCGGGGAAAGAGGTGAGCTTGATTCAAAGCCCTGTGTGTTCATTGTAGCACATGGAGTAGGTAACAGAAAATAAAAAGGTGACAGAAGGAATGTGTTAGGGCCGGCCGAGTGGTGTATTGGTTAAGAGCTGGCTTGGGACGCAGAGGGCCCCGGTTCAGATCCCACATATGAGAGCCAGTGACACTGCCCTCTACAGCTAAGATGCTGAACAACAGCTCAACCTGGAGCTGGGCTGCCATGAGTCGCCGGCGACCGCGTAGGCTGCAGCCCCTGCTGCAGTGGATTGCCATGAGCTACCGTGTGTAGCCAGCAGCCAGCATGAGCGGCCAGCAGCCGCCTGTGAGCAGCCATCCAGAAGCGGGCGACTGATCTGCCTCGCCCGGGAAGATCGCAATGATGGTGCCAATTTGGGCCAGTGAAGCAACGTCCTCCACAACTAGACTGAAGAACAAAAGGACAGCAACTTGTCTGTTCCCCTTCCTCCAATTCCC